CCTAGTGAATCATATTACAATTAGTTCATGGAGGAAGCTATTGGCGACACAGCTTTTCTCAAGTAAATTTATCAAATTCACGAGCTGCTTACGGTATGATAAAGTGAAAGAACTTATAACATTCATAAACAAAAGCTAGGAGAAGCCGTAGAGATTGCTCGTGCTTGCTTCATCACATCGCTTAATGTACTCTCAAACCTTGTGTTTTCGACCGACCTAGGCAGGACCGGCCCTGAGAATTTAAATGCCACAAGCGAAAATGATATTTATGCCTATAATTATTGAACTTTTTAAAGGAAAAAAAAATAAACAAAATGATCTTATGGGGAAGTGAACCCTCCACCTATATTTTCTTCTATAGAACCATAAACCAATTGAATTAAAAACACGTGTAATTTGGGGCCGAAAATGTATATAAGCAAAAAATCAAAAATTTTGATGATCTTGTTCGAGAAGAAAGATCGGAAGTCAACATGAACGATATCAAACACCTTCTATATGTAAGTTATTTAAGGTATATATTAAAATTATGGTTCGAATTCTTACATTAACGTAAATCTTAATGTATAAAAATATTTTTTAATCTGGCATTATGATTTTGAAAGATTTTAGATATAGAAAGAAAATAGCTTCTTTTGTTTTCTAGACTTCTTAAAATATATTTTTTTCAAAACAAACATTTAGATAGAATTTGTGTTTTCCTTCCAAATATATAATAATTTTTTTGGTTGTTTATTTAAAGGACTTGTTTATAAGTTTATTGCGGGGACGGAAACGAACTCTACCATTGTGGAATGGGCACTAACCGAGCTACTTCGCAATCCAGAGGCTATGGCTAACGCAAAATTTGAGATAAACTTTATTGTTGGCCCAAACCGTTACTTTCGTGACAACGACCTTGCAGATTTGCCCTATTTACGAGCTGTTATAATAGAGACTCTCCGTTTGCACCCACCGAGTCCATTTCTAATCCCACGCAAGGCTGAGTCAGACACGGATGTTTTAGGGTTCCTAGTACCTGAAAATGCTCAGATTCTAGTGAACGCTTGGGCTATAGGACGTGCTCTATGTTTTATCCTGTTATCAGTGTGACATTTTACTCTGTTTTTTCGTGTTCTCTTCTTATTGTATGTATAGTGGAGCTCTTCGTGTCTCTTTGCTTAAACTCTCAAAGAAAAAAATCCCGTTATTGTTTCACTATTTCTGATGTATATAGCTGCAGATTAGGGCTCGTGTTTCCTTGTTTTACAAGTAAATACTACATAGACTCTAACTGAATCTAGAACATATGCTCGAATCATATTCGTTTTGACCCGTCCTCAGTCGTCATATATCTAGAAACCGCGGTTCGATCCTTTAACGCGAACTCGCTCAACTTTTGGCCTTGAACTATATCCCTAATGTTGGCCTCGCCAGTTATGTCGGCAGCATATCCCTTACCTTGTATACTTCAACATCAAACGGGTAATTATTTGATGTTATTATATTACTTGATTTACGTAACCAATAATGTGTTAAACAATAAACATATATATTAGAAACTCATGTATTTCTATATATCGTTTGTTTTCAAAAAATATATTAATATTCGTAGTTTGAACTTCAAAACATAGAATTTTACAAGCGCAAAAGAAAATTTAGCACAAAATTATCATAGTTTATTTTCTATATATAAAAAAGTCTATATATATAAACCAGCATGTTTTTGCCTCTTCGAGCACACATGTCAGTGTTTGATTGTGTTCAGTGCTTGAGAGAAGCGATGTTTACGATAGCTCGTTGTTTGTGATTTTGTTATTTTTATCGTTTCGAATATAGGTGTGTGTTGTTTAACAAAAAAAAAGAATATAGGTGTGTGTAGTAATTAAAAAAAAAAGAATGTAGAGAAATTTCAAAAAATGCCACTTTTTAAATGCTACTTTACAAAAATGTCATATTTTTGAAATCTTTACAAAAATATCACTTTTTCAAAA